ACTTTTCTTTTTGTTTCTCCTTCCTTTAGCCACATTCAGTAAACCTAAGATCACAAAGAGATGCAAAGATGATGATGTCCCAGTGGGTTGTTACGTGACATGTACCTCTCATAGTGGGTACCCAAGCCAAAAGATTACTTGGCAGACTGAACATGGCCACAGTCAGATGTGGAAAGAACTGAACAACAGTGAAGTACTGTCTAATCCAACTACGAAGATGATAAACGTGTCCAGCACTGGATACATGAACTGCTCCAGTGGTGAAATGATGGTCACTTGTTCTGTGGGAAACATCTCCTCAGTCAAGATCTCAGTCTGTGAGTAAATGCTTTGGTAAATGGACTGTACTTATATAGCGCTTTTCTATCTTATCGAGATACTCAAAGCTCTTTACACTACAATCTGTGTCCTCATTTATCCATTCACACAGCACTCTACTAGATCTCTACAAAGCTAATTGAACAAATCATTCTAAAGAGACTAATCAGTGCTTTATCACATTCATTCACCGATGGGACACACATAGGAGGCAACGAGGGGTTCAGTGTCTTGCCCAGGGACACTTCGGCATGTGACTGCTGGTGGATTCGAACCCCCAACTCTTGCATTGGAGGACGACTGCTGTAACCACTCAGCCACAGCCACTTTGCCGGAATCTCCTGTTTGCTTCCAGTCACTGGGCAAGTTTTAGGAAGTGTGACACCCAATGGAAACTCCTTTGCATTTTTTTAGTTTTTCACAGAATAAATGAAAACAAACAAACAAACAAACAAATATATATATATATATATATATATATATATATATATATATATATATATAACATTTTTTATGTATTTTCCAAATACACTTTAGTTTGGGTTTCTTGGAAAAGAACATTTGAGTAAAAAGATCAAGAACCTGAATTTCAATTAAGACACATTTCTTTCTCAACTTATGACAATTTTTGTATTTTTTAACACAAGTTAGTTTTTAATAAAACATAAACAAAACCACAAAACAAAAAATTAGCACACTAACTAATTTTGGGGGATAATGGTTTGACCCAAGTGTTGGTAAAACTCTTACCTTATTATAAAACTTGAGGTTTGACAACACGGTCAGACACTTCTTACGTGACAAGAAAGCAGATAAACCTCCACTCATATTTACATCAGTGGGCCTAAAGTGCTTTCAGCTGAATCACTTCCTGAAAATCAGCCCCCAAAAATATTAACAATATTAATAATTATTTCTGAGAAATATAAACATTTTTTTTCTATTTAAAGTCTGTTATATGTTTGTGGCTATAGTCCAGACTTGGGTAACATATGGCATCATCATCCGGTCCCCAATATCCTGAAGGGAAAAAAACAACTTTTACATAAGTTGATGAGCACCAGCAGCTTTTCAATGAAACTTAAGGAAGTCCAAATTAAACATCTTGGATACAAATACATTAAAAAACAACTTTGGATTAAGATAGCACACAACTTGTTTTTTTTTAGTTGTTACTTATACTGTATAAATAAATATAACAAATGTATTGTCACAAGAGCCTGCAAACAAATTCTGTCTTAAAGAAAATTTATTTTTCTATTTTCTGTGCGGCCCTTTGATTGCTGTAATGTCTTGATTTGACCAACTGGAAAATAAATGTTGCCCACTTCTGCTATAGTTTGTTCCTCTTTTCCAAAGTCCCTCTTATTTGTCTCAAAGCATGCAGAAATGTCCCTGAAACACTGTGGTCATAGATTTCATTGGCTATGAAGAACAGAGGTTTTCATTTTGCGTTAATCCTCCTTGTCTGATAATGTGCTTTAAAAAAAATACATGCTAAAATTCCCTCAAGATACTGCAGTTTCTTTCTGTCCCCTGTCATGGAGCTAGTGGAGATAAGTCTTGTGAGCTGGACAACTTGAAACAAAAGCGAGGTAGCAACTTCCATTTTGGTGTCTGGCTACATCTAGGCGTAAGAAAGATCACTATGTAAAACTGGGTTGCCACGTCAAAACCCAAGATTCAAGCACCACTGTATATGTAAGCCAGCCATCATTTGAGGAAACTGTGCTTTATCGTTTTGATATTGCTTATAAGTATAATTTCTTTAAATGATCGGGGTAGCCAAAGATTAATCCATGGTGGATAAGGCCATCGTTGGTCACCCCCAACTCCTCCATTGCACCTGGTGGTGGATACATTTGCTCCTCTCCACTCACCAGGGTCCGTCACTCTGCGCCGCCTGGGTCAAGCAAAAAATATAAGTAACTAAAATAAGGGAAGGAAAGTCTGACATTGTTGTCACTGTATGCTCCCATTCAATGACAAAATCACTTCTCTGCATTTAACTTATCACATGTGAGATACATTCAGGTGGAGCAGTGGGCAGCTACAGTATGTAAGTGCCCGGGAAGCAATTAGGGCAGGACTATTCAACTAAATTACTCAGGGGGCCACAGTTACAGAAAGCCAAGAGCTCATGTGCTGGACATACAGCAGCTATTGTCATTAAGTAAGTTTGTTTTATGGTTAAAAATCTAGTTTTATTTAAAAATGAAGCCATTGGTGGGCTGAACGAGTGGCTTCGGATGTTATCAGTCCATTAAATGGCCGTTACTAGTTGTTATCATCCCCATATGTAGCGGTCAAACTGTCCCACTTACCTCATAGTAGGTTTAAAGGTACGTTATTATTGCCGATAATAGGCAGCGTCGCACGGGGGTAAACCAGGAAGTGTCTTTTTTGTTTATTCCAGCTTATGTAACCCTTTTCCTAAACCTAACCTTACACCTGACCCAGAGGACCAACCCTAAACTTAACCCCCTTACCCTTTACTCTAAACCTAACCAAGACCGTAAACCTAACCGCCAGACCCTTAACTCTAAACCTAACCAAGTGAAGCTATTATCATCGCTAACAATGTACCTTTAAACCCACTAGGAGGTACAGGAGGGGCAGTCTGACCGCTACATATGGAGATGATAACAACTAATAACGGCCATTTAATGGCTGATAACATCCAAAGCAGGTGGAGGTGGTGGCTGAACTGGGTTCACCCGTGGGCCTGATTTAGCCCCTGGGCTGCCAGTTGAATAGCCCTGAATTTGGGATTATGTGTCTTGCTCAGAGGCACCATGACATGTGGGAATGGCTGGGAGTCAAACTTTCTGGTCCTCAGTCAGCTGCCTTACCTCTACCCCATCTCGCCCCTCACAAGCTTTCTCTATGTCTAAGCTATCTCTGTTCTTATGCACAGTGTAAGTGTGGGATCAGTAAAGTTATATCTTATCTTATCTTAACTCCTATCTACTTGGGTAGGAGCTCAAAACATTAAAGTTCACTTTCAATTCCAGTCCAGAAAAACACTAATCTAGAAAACTACAAACAAACACTATTCAAGTCTCTCAGCAATGGGGCCATTGGGATACCGATACTTTTATTTACTGTATTTATTTATTTTTCCCAAGACTTGTTTAACATTTTTATAAATTATACCAAAGGGTGTCGTAGTTTTCTCAGTTGCAAAACAAGTGTAAAACGTATTTCTTCTCTGTACGTGTTTCTGACTCTGAGACGTGTTTGTGTTCATCTGAAGGCGCTCCACCTCCCAGTCCCAGTAACCATCTTACAACAGTTGTGGTTGGAGTAATCGTCGTGTGTCTAGTGGTTTCTGGGGTGATAGCATGGTTAATACTCAAGAAACGAAAGACAGGTAAGGACAAAAGTAATACTTGTAAGAGATTTTGTTCTGTTTTACGTGTATCTGCACATTTGCCACTAAAAATAGTTCACTATGTACAAAAGCTGTATCTAACAGTCTGCTCTGACATTTTTTGGCTTCTATAGCAGCAGCACCAAGAAGCGTGACAGCTAATGGCAGCCCTTTGTAAGTGTTCACTGAATACAGCGTGTCACAGAAATACACTCTCTATAATATATTTAGAGTAATAACCTATTTGATTTCATGTAGGGAGGTTAAAACTCTTGTTGGAAACACAAATGTGGAAGAGGCACGTTGAGGATCCAACCAGACCACAGCTTTCACATCCTAGAGTGTAGGATGTCCGCTACTTGTCACTCAGGTGTAAGCTACATTAGTGACTTACCGGCCACTGGAGCCGGGGATGACTACTGGAGTCTGTGACTCACCACAGAAACTGTGTTGTTGACATTTCTATGATGCTTGACTTTTGAGCGAGGAAGTATTCCCCTTTTATCAGAGAGGTTCAACGCGTCACTGCACTTAGAGCGGTCCGCTCTTCCAAGGAAATTATTTTGAGGTAGTGTGTGCTGGAAGCGTTGGTGTGTGGTGGGAAAGAAAAATGGAGGAACTCCAACCAAAAGGGCAAAAACTGACAGCACAGACTTTTGTTACACTCTCCATTGTAAAGAGCAGTGGAGCCTATTGGGAAAATATTCTCTGTGTTGCTAGTTTTTATTCATAGAGCAACAAAGGGGGAATTTAAGTTTTTTTTAAATATTTTAGACTTTTATTAAAATACTGTTACAGGTGATTGACTGGAGGAAGAGCAAAACAATTGAACAAAGAAAATATGGATTTTAGTTCAGTTCTTAGTTCTTTATTGATGAGTTGGCCATATTTGCAACTACTGTTAAAAGCTTTTATTCTCATGGGAGAGTTCTCATGTAACATATAATTAGTAAATTATGATATATAAATATATATATATATATATATATGGGTATATTTTAGGGGTGCGTGATTGCAGTATTCTGGCCGATCACCGATTTCTAAAAAGTCTGACCTGCCGAGTCCGATTTTGGCCGATACAGATTTTGTTTTATGAGCGACACTGTCAGATGTTGTAAGGTCACAACGCACCTTCAGTTTTCCAATATTATTTTATTGAAAAACATACCCTTGAACAATATCCTAGAAACAATACAAAGTTGTTTTAACTGGCCATGAGGTAGTGCTCTGAAATATAAATGAAGTTTAGACAATTTGAGTTAAAACAAACAACAACAAAAAATCTGTAAAATCAGTTTCTCAATGAAGTATCGGCTGATCTCCCAAAATTAAGGAAGTCGTGGTCGATAAATCAGTGCACCCTTA